ATTCAAACAACATCATTTTCCATAGCTTTCTAGAGCCAATTTGTGTGAAGTTTGAGTTGTTCTTGAGCGTACTTAGTTTACTCATTATCTACTCTTAAAGAGAGTCTTGTTCTTGAGTGTTTAGTGTTGTATACACATTAAGGGAAGCTTGTTTCCCTTGGTCGTACGAAGGAAAGGTATTTTCCTTTGGGTTGAAGTCTAGGAGTGCGGTATCTCCGAGCAAGTGTATTGAGGCTCGTGGGACTCGAGTTCTCAGGTTGTAACGGTTTCTTAAGCACCCGTAAGCTTAACGGTAGTAGTGTAGCTTGAGAGACTCTCTCGGGAGGCTGGATTAGCCACACGTTGTGTTGAACCAGGGTAAATTCGGTGTGCCTCTTACCCTTCTCTTTTCTTCTCCTTTAAATTATTTAATTCCTGCGATTTCTACGTTCAAACGCTATTCACCCCCCCAAGCGTTGGTCACTTATCCTAACAGGAGAGAGTGTTGAGAGTTTGGGGGGTTACAAATGTGGTGGAAGTGAAGGGAGAGAGAGAGATTTAAATTGAGGGGAATGAATGGGAGCTAAAGAAAAATAAATGTGGACTTAATGGAGATTAATGTGTGGGTGAGTGTGGCGTGGGAATTGGAAGGATTAAATGGGAAATTAATTCCCTAAATTCTATTCCTTTATGTAAAATCTGTCATGAGCGGTACGCGGTTTTTCCCCCGAACGGGTCCGAATTGAGGTCCGTTTGCGTTTCTGGAATCAGACAGTCAAGACGAATATTATGACGTGATTAAATAATTTTTCTAAGGAGTTTATTTTCCCAATCCCGCTCCGAGTTAGTAATTAATTAATTAAATTAATCAATTCTAAGAGACCGGATCGCAGAGCGTTACAATATATCCAGACATCTAGGCCAAGCACTGTTAGAATAAGTGACCAACGCTAGAGGGGGGGTGAATAGCGTTTGATCGTAGAAATCACAGGAATAAAAAATTAAGTGCGTGAAAGATAAAGAGCGTAGAAAGCGTAAAGGGAGCACACCAGGATTTACCCTGGTTCACCACAACTTGTGGCTAATCCATCCTCCCGAGAGACTCTCTCGAGCTACACTACTTCCGTTAAGCTTACAGGTGCTTAACAAACCGTTACAACCTGAGAACTCGAGTCCCACGAGCCTCAATACACTTGCTCGGAGATACCGCACTCCAAGACTTCAACCCGAAGGAAAAATACCTTTCCTTCGTACGACCAAGGGAAACAAGCTTCCCTTAATGTGTATACAACACTAAACACTCAAGAACAAGACTCTCTTTAAGAGTAGATAATGAGTAAACTAAGTACGCTCAAGAACACAACACGAACTTCACAAAAATGGCTCTCGAAAAGCTATGAATAATGTATGAATACTATGCAATGAAAGAATAGGAGTTGTGAAGTAATGTGATATATAAAACAGACCCAAAACACCCCATTTTATAGTGGAAAAATAGGCTCCAACGGATCAAAACATTTAAGGGGTGATTGGCACAATTTGTGGGATTTGATTAAATTTGGATCTGCTGAGATTCACCGAGACAGTGCTGTCCTAGGCTTGGACATCGCTGTTCTAGGCTTGCGTTTTGAAAATTGGGAAGCAAAGGTCATGCCAACAGCGATGTCCAATACTCCTACATCGCTGTTTTGGCTGTTGACTTCCAAACAAGGAAAGTTTTAGCCTTAAATCCCTTCCAACTGTCAGGTCCCTACATCGCTGTTCAATACTTGAACATCGCTGTTTAGGTCTGACTTTGAAGGTGGAGTTTTGGCCTGACAGCGCTGTTGCTGGGTCAACATCGCTGTCCAAAAACTTTCTTCCAATGCACTATATTTTTGGCTTAGGTTGGACAGCGCTGTAGGCAAGGCTACATCGCTGTTCCAAATGTTTCTGGAAACACAACCTTGGCTCAACAGCGATGTCTAGTATGCAACATCGCTGTTGGAAGACTTATGTTGTCTACCATGAACATTTTCATTCCTAGGTTTTAGTCTAGGTTGTCTAGTGTCCTTAGGTTGACTAGGTTTTCTATTATCCTGATTTTTAGGTTTCTTACGTTGAGCCTTAGATGATTGTCTAGATGGTGGCTCAACGTTTTCTTTAACCTTAACTTCATTTTTATTGAAACATATTCCTTCATTAGAAAAAAGCATAGTGTCAAGGAGCAAATTTAAATCTTTGTGCAGAGTATTAAATCTCTTGACCGTACTCTCAAGTTTTGTGACTTGTTCCCTTAAAGCTT